AAATTTGCATTTTATGAACGATACAAATTTTTTGGGATTTCAAAATAATGTACCAAAACATAAAAAGTAATAAGTTCAAATCTTGAACAAATATAAATATCATAATCATTTCTTATAAATACCATTTCCTAATGTAATTTTCCAAGATATTAAAGATCATAATGCAAAATTACTAAATTGATCAAAAGTAACAGGCTTTATGTTTCTTAAGTTAAACTACATGCATTTATGAAAGTTCTTATGAATTTTCAAACAGTTTCATCCACTAGTTTTATTGTTCGTATGAAATATAGCAAGACTTGCATTGGCTACTCAGAAAGTTAGTTGCTGGTGGTCATTGGGTTAACAGTGGATACATTCAGCTAAGACTGGAAGAACTTGTATATTAGTGTTTATCCTCCCATCTGACTTCTCCTCCATTTACTATCTGTCATTCAATTCACTCCATGTCAAGCACTTCTAATAGTTCCATTCTGGCTCTCTCATACTTGGTTCCCGTTACTTCAGTCTCTCCAGTTAACACCACCTTTATCTCTTCCTCCCTTCCCATTTTTCCTTCATCAACCTGATGCATGCTGGTTTCATCCATCTGTATCTTCACTCTGGCTTCATTGCCAGTAGGGCTGGTCTTTCCACTCTGGTAGCACCATTTATTTTCTGTATTGTCCATCCTTCCTCTTGGTTGTTTGCCAAGGGTTTCTCTGTGTCGACCATTGCAGGCTGTCTTATCCTCTATCTTCTGTTTTTCTGAGTTGCACCATATTATATCCTCTCCGGTCATATCCTGTTTTATTATGATCCTTCAAGATCCTTCATCCTCCCCAGCTCTCTCCCTTTCTGGATTGGAATCTTAATGTTGTCCTACATCCCTGTCTTTTCCCTCTTTTGAACCTTTTGCATGTTGTTCCCTGTACCAACTTACCTTAAAAACCTATTTCATTCCCCTTGTAGTTTTGGGATGTCATTGGTAGGATGTGTTCTCCATTGATGGCTCATGTATCCTTTATCATAGTACCCATGTCCTCCTTTATCAGATAAAGTCATCCTTCTGTTGCTTGTGAGGATAATTTTGCTTTAACTCCCATTTCCCTACCCTTCATTTCACACTTGTATTCTTGCTCTGATCCAGATCACTTCCTTGTCCAGTCCATGCTTTGCAATGTTATGTGGTGCACACAGCTTCCTCCTGCAGCTTCTGTTTCTGACTCTTTATCCATTAAAGTCCTTCCATATCCAGAAACCTTTCCATGATTACCCTTACAGGTTGGATTCACCAAATAATTAGCTTGATGTATTCTTCTTTCTTAGTCCATGACTGTCACATCTTCCATGTTTCTTCTCACCAAACCCTCATCTCATCATGTCCCTGACTGCTCGTTTTTATCATCATTTGGAGGAGATCATCGAAGCTGGCATGTGGACCACTCCACACACATTCATGGCACACTATCTCTACCATTTAGCAATTCCTTCCTCAACCAGATAGCATCTGCCTCCTATTGCCGTCTAACATGATACAGTACAACTAGGAGTGGGCAAGTTACTTTTATTTAAATATTTTTCTCATCTGAGAACCTTGTTATTTTTATTTTTTGCTGGATCCCACTCAGTGGCAAGTGTTGCCTGTCCAGCTATACTTATTCTCAAATCTGTACAGTATAGCCTTTTAAGCTCTATTGTGCACACCATTGAGATAAGATGTTACAAAAGACTGCTTGTAGATTCTTCTATATAGTGTTTTTCATCATAATTATGGTTGTCCCGGAATATACTTTCATAGACTAGTGAGTAAACCAAAAGAGGATTGCTACCTATCCTTACCAATTGTGAGATTGACAAAAACAGGATCTAATTTACAAAATAGGGTTTACCATCACCCATTGCATTGTTTCCATTGCTGCATTCCTCCAGACTTTCCAATGCATTCTCCCCCTCTTCTAGTGAAGTACAGGGGAGTCCTTACCACTTACCAGCCCTATCTCCTGGAGTTTTGAATCATGGAAGCTTCCTTCTGAGTGTGTTCTATTCCACTCATTTGAGAGTAGAGTGTGATGTTGTGTCAGTGTAGATGGTGTAGGACCCTCCTCCTACTATGGCATGGATTATTTTTTTCCATTGTTGCCTGGTTGTGGACTGGAGATGATCCACCAATAATGGCAGTTCACTCCTCTGGTTGGGATGTTGGTTCTTGGGTGGTTTGTGTTTTGAATTAGAGCTGGATCAACCACCACAAGTCCTCACGTGTGAGATGAATGGTTTGAGGACCTCCTACTTACCATGGAATGGATGAAACATTTCCAGTACTGTTGGTTTTGGATAGAGTTGATCTCCAACATTGGTTGAATTTGAACTGAGACTGATATATCAAGTCCCCAAAAGAAGGAGGTCCTCAACCAATTGAGAGATCAATTCATTCCCCAAACCATAGAGATCAGAAATGATATGTCCAGTCTCCATAATGAAGAGGTCCTCAACCAATAAAGAGATCAACTCCATTCTCTAACTGTTGGGACCGGGAATGACATTTTTAGTCCCCAGAAGGATGAGATCCTCAACCAATCAAATCTAGATGTGTCCCTAAAGTAAAACAATTGTGGCACACCAGACTGCAATTGGGAGATCAACTCAATCCTCAGAAATGTTAGGACTGGGATTGAATCGTCCAATCCCCAGAAAGCCAGAGGTCCGGTTTGAGGATGGAGTTGATCTCTCGATTATGGTCCAACACACCCGAACTATTCTATTTGGCTTCAAATAGTTGAGGGCCTCCTCCTTTTGAGGTCTGGATGTATCTTTCCCAGTCTCAATGGTTTGAGGATGAAGTTGTTTATACAGCTTTGTCTGGACTTGCCCTATCTACTATCTCTGGGGCATTTCTGCTATTTATCATATGTGCCTCTTTGCTATCCATTTATTGGCACTGTTTTTCATCAAGGGTGAAGAGTATACCTGATACAAGAGTGTGTTTCCTCTTCACAGAGATGTCTTACTCCATTGGCTCTCTGTAAATGCATTCTGAATGGACCTAATCCAGGTAATGTTATACCGGTCTCTTCACCAGATTAATGTGAGATTCTAGCTTTAATGTGAGAGAAGGTATCATATTGGAAATTATAATTTCTCTACACAGAAAATATTTTTCCAATAGATACTTACCTCTTTTTCACATATCCCTTCATTCCTCCCTACTTCTGGTGTTTTTGTTCTTGGTACCTAATCTCAAAGTGAGGATAGACCATAATTCAGCAAGAGATAGCTGCTCAAGGAGAGTGTGTGACACTCTTAGTGGTGGAGGGTTGTAGCATGATAATTTACATGCTACAGTACAGCTGAACCATGTTAAACATGTGGTGGTCAGTGGAAGTATTGAGGCTAAGGCATATTGAGCATATAGAGGGCAATAATAAATGAAAAAAGAAAGCTTTTATGTGAGAGGAGGTAAGGTATCGTATTGGAAAAATGGTGTTTGGTTAGAAACTAGTAAAGATTAATCTTGTACATCTTCAGCCATATTCAACTCCAACTGTACAGTAAACAGGTTTCTACTTTGAGCTTAATTTATACATTCTATGGTTGACTAATATATTTGTCATAATAAGAACATCTTCAAGATGAAAGGGAAAATTAGGTCCACCAAAGTCACCTTTTATCAAAAATGATGCATGCAGTTTTAACCATATAAATATTATAAAGAAGCAACTTTTTAAACTTTTAATCAGAAGGTTTCGTGTATGTATAGTTTTCTACATTAATTTTGGTGATTTTCTTTGCTCATTCAAGCAGTTACTTAGGCTGGCAAGGCATAACAAACTGCAGCCTTGTCAACAAAATGAAACTTGGTATGGTTGAGTGCAAAGTAATCGCAATTGAACTTTCATTATATGTGTAGATAACTATCCTACAACTTTCAAAGCTGAGATATAGACAATTGCATCACACTATGACAACCAAAGATGAGAAACAGTGATTGGCAAAAACCAATAAACTACACTTGTACTAAAATTAAAGTTCAAATTGGCACTGTTTTTCAAAACTATTTTGACTTTCTCCATTAGAGGCTGAGTGCCATATTATGCTCAGAAAGTTTAGGAAATTCCCAAACACTAATGTTTTCATTTGTGGGGGTATGAAGGATATTGAGGCTAGTGGCGAGCAAAAAACTTGAGTATCTAGAGAACAGTAATAATTGAGAAAAGGTTTTATGTGAGAGGAGATAAGTATCTATTAAAATACATTTATTTCTCTGTAGTAAAATTATAACTTCTTGAAAACCAAATTTCATGAAAATTGTGGACCAGGAAGAAAGAGTGAATCTCTTCTAATTACAAAATTGAATTTTAAGCAAAGGACTCCCGGATTTTCCTTAACACCAAAAGTGAAGATTATCAAGAAATTGAAAGATGTACCTTAATTATTCTGTAATGTGAAAAAAAATTAAAAGATATACAGTACAATTGTTTAATTCAAAAAGTAGATCTTACTGTGAAACTAAATAGTATGCTTTAATCCTCTGTTTTTACACTGTTTTATTGAAAAGAAAGTTTTGTTTGTGAGATGCAAATCCAATGTTATTTAAGTTGTTTGTTGCAAATTGCTAAAAATCCCTGTAGTAACAAAAGCATACAAGTATTTTGGATAACTTGACATTATTTTTATTTTGTGGCCCCTTCTGTTCTTATTATGAAAGGAATAATTTGATAAAAATTTATTTTTGTGAAAGCTATAAGTACAAGATATTTATATTTTTAATCACGTAAAATTCTTGCATGTATTTTAAAATTTATGAAGAAAAAGTAAAAGGCAATTATTAGCATAGATTATGAGAAAGGTGACAGGAATGTGCAAATTTTATTTTGAAAAATTCAACAGTTCTGAATAAGTATGAGCTAGGTCTAGTTATTTGTGATAATAAAATGGCTAATATTTGTTTTTTTGTTTTTTTAGTTCGTGTTCTAATCAGGTTGAAACTAAAGCTTCTGTGTCAAGAACATCAGATATAGAATCTCCACAAGGACGACTGTATAGGCCAATGAAACGTAACAACAAGAGTGCTGATGAAGAAGCTGGAGCACCTAAGCGGTCAAAAGAAGATGTTCCGTTTTCTCGGAGCATTCATAGAAGTCGCAAGAAAGTTAATCTTGACTTACTTACCAATAAAGAACTAGGACTTCGAATTCTCATTGAAAAATTTCCACAGAGGGATATCATGGTATCTTAGAATGATCTCAGATATTAAGCTTTTTTTATTCAAATTCGTATAAAAAATTAGATTTATGTATTTTTTTGTGAAAAACTATACAGAATTGTCAGTGATATCAGTAGGCATAACTCTGTTACTGTGTTTCATTCCAATTGTTAAGATAGAAAATTGTCTGCTTACGGCTCTAAGCTGTGGTTGCATAGTGGGTAGAACATCAGTTTAAGAACACTAGCACTAGAGAGAGGCAAAGCTTCAGTTCAGTTCTAGATCTTGAAACATTACAAAAGTAATGTGAAATATCAGTTTTTATATGATAGTTTTTGATTTGCATCTACAAAGATATAGTATTATTTCAATATATACAAAATTGGTGTGGAATTAAAAAGAAAAGTTCTTGTTCAAGGGACAAAGTGCTAGAAAAATTTATTTGCCTGTCTTAAGAGTACTGTTCTTTCCTCTTCTCTCCCACGAAACATGCAAAAAGCAATAGATTATAACTTTTGAAATTTTATTTTTATTTAACAGTGAACATAATCAATACAATGCCATTGGTAGTTCAGTTCCGTTAATGGTATATATCATGTTTTGCATTTAAAATTTTCATATATATTGGTTCATGTACTTTATAGTTTTTAACATTTCATTATTAGGATCCTACAGCACACCATGTAGAATACCTCATGCATGAACTCATAAAGAAGCCATGGTTTACATTAATTATGTCACAGACTAAAATGGTGTTTAATATGCAGATATTATAAAATACACATGCACACACACACACACACACACACACACACATACATACATACATACATACATACATACATACATATGTATATATATATGTGTGTGTGTGTGTAAAAGTGAAAAGCTTTTTTTAAAATTTTATTGCATAATACATTATTCCAATAGCTAACACTGGGCTTCTGTAGATGAAAGACACGTAGCAATATTGCATTAATTTAAATATTGTGTACTATTGAGCATTTGTGAAATAAATGTTCATGTATATGTGCTAGGTTTCTGCAGTTTAGAATTTTTAGGAACTTGGGTGACTGCTTAGAAGTCTGCTCTGAGTGTTTGTATAGCAAAAGGATGAATGATGTGAAAAAAAAAACTACTTGTCCAACAGGCAAAGTATAACTGTAGACCTTGTCCCTCAGACAAATCCATTTTTTGTCCTAGGCATTGGACAATATGAAATTTCCACCTCTGTATAGTAATCTGAAAATGCCTAGTGTAATTATAGGAGTAAACTGTTGACATGGCCTTTGAGGCCTACAAAATTCAGGTCTGATAATTTCAGCAATTACATAAAAACCATAATAACTAAAAATGTAAGAAGGAATATGTTATATCTTGAGCACACTTTAAAATGTTTTTGACTGATACTGTGTTTTATGTGAGATATGATAATTTCATACTTGTCCATAAAATGTAATGATAATCCTTTAGGTTAAAAGTTTTGTCTGTCATAGCATTTTTGTAATCACACAAATTTAGGTAGTCCAAATATTAAACATATTTTATCGCAGCTTTCATACGTCTTAATTTTCTAGAGAGTTTTGAATTAACTTTTTCAACCAATGGCCCAGCTAGCCATTAGCTTTAAAAATTCGGAAATACTACAAACATTTTATTGGCTCATTGCAATAGTAACATTTTTTTGTAATATTCTACCCTATCTTGATGTCAGACAAGTCAACCTATACTTTTTCCTGATACAGTACTTCGCTCCACTCATATGAGTAGTTATTCTTGTTTATTGCTGCCCTCTATATGGAAACTTTTTTTTATTACGCATGCCACAAGCACCCCCCCCCCTATTGGAACCAAATAATTCCACATGTCTCTCATAAAATCATCATGTATCACCTATCTACCAATAGGAGCATAGTACACTCAAGTTTATGCATGTGACTCCCTCTATGTGCCTCTACTGAACTGTCACTTCTTATTTGGCAGTACTTGCATTCAGACGTCTTTCTTTTTATTTGCCTGGTTTCATGTTTGAGATTGTACTTACTCGAAGTGGTTTAATTTAATTTAAAATACTCAGTTGTTTTTTTACATTATTTCAGTTCACTTTTATTCTAGTTGCATTTCTTATTTACTTCAAATGCTTTTGTTGACTACATCACCATGAATTCCGAAGTTAATGTCACCACTTTGGGTGTCACACAATCGACAGGCACTATACCACAGGCTTCAGGTGCTGGCAACCTGATGGGAGATTTCTCTATGTTTATTCATAGGGAAATTGAATGTTATATGGGTCAACCTTTATCTCCAGACATTGCCCCTCTTCCTAATGAACCTGTGGAACCTGGTCAGGCTGACAAAGACTTTGATTGCCTGTTTCAACCTCCTGATTTTGCTGTGCCTTTCCATACTATCCCTGAGGATTCTATTTGACCGTCCTTAGTTTTTACAGACTTTATTTCTCAAGTATGTGATGTTTTATCCCTTGCTCCTATATCTTATGTGCTGCATCCTTTGTTATTGCATGAACATACTTCCCAACCCTATTTGGTGTTTACCCTGTCTCCTGGCTTTCAGGTTCATGGTGTTAGTATGCCTCGTCCCCACAGGCTTTGGATCAGTCAGCCCTTGCATTTCATAGGGCGGACTGTTCATATCTCAACCAACAGCTGTTGGGTTCAGTTTTGCCCATTTGCGGGGTGGGCCCCAAATCTCATTTATCATTGGCTCATTTATCGTCTTTGGCTCTAGCTTTACAAACATGGTTTCTTTGTTGTTGGGACCTTTTAAGTCATGATGCTGTTTTATCTTGAACCCGTTTACCTGCTCCTTTTAAGAGATTTCATCTTTGATACAGTACTGGAATTCTTGGAGTCTCAAATGTCATCTGCCCACAACAATCTACCAGTTCCCATCTAGTTTCCCATTTATCTCAGTCAGAGCCAAATTTGGCACCTATTTCAGTTTCTCATCTTCCCATCCTTTACCTGTACCTCCTTCCCATGGTGCCACGGCTCGCTGTTTTTCTTGCTGTACAATACGCTGTCAACAGTTCTGGTGACTACCTGGTAGGAACTCGCCTTGCAACCCTTTTCATCTGTGGCACCCTTTCATCTAAGATGTTTGGGTTTTTCAGGTTTTGTCAGAGGGATTCGAAATTCGGTTTCTTGTCCCAGATACCTGTTTCCTTCCCTTTTCTTTGGGATAGAGTATTTTTCCAGCATGTATCAGAGGCGGTACAGGACCTCCTCACCCAACAGGCTATAGAACCTGTTCCACATCATACCCCAGGATTTTACTCCTGTCTGTTTGTTGTTCCCCAAAACACTGGGACTAGAGGCCTGTCATCGATCTGTCTCACCACACTCGCTTTGTTCATCTCCCATGTTTCACCATGGAGTCCTACCTCAATATTCGGTGGGCTTTTTCTCCAGGCCTAAGGATGACCAAGATGAACGTCTCCAATGCCTATCTGCATATTCCCGTCTCAGAACGGTCTCATCCTTACTTTCAGTTCATCCATCGAGGGGTGGTATACCAATTTCATGCCCTAACCTTCGTGCTGGCTTCAGATCCATACGTTTTCTGTTGGGTGGTATGAACTTTCACTCTCCATCTTCATGCCCTGGGGCTGTGCTTCCATTTTTACATGAACAGCTGGTTACTTCTGGCCCATTCCTAATAAGAGTTGGCCTGTCATACTTGTCAGCTCCTTCTTTAAGCTGCTGGGTAGGCTGGTTGAACAAATTGGAGAAGTCCTTCCTACCCAATACCTTGTACATTTGGGTGTGTATTTCAATGCTTACCTCAGTTGGGCCCAACCTTCTCCTCTCAGACTCCATTCTATGAAATTGTCAGTTTTCCATGCCCTGTCTGCTCTTGCACTTTCTACATGCGAAGTTCTGTCACTTTTGGGGATGTGGTCTTATAGGACACCACTAACCCCCTCATCCATGCACACGTGCTTCCTTCTGTAGACTCTGCACGATAATTAGAACCTTGCTCGGGATCCCTTGGATGCTCCCATCACCCTTCCTCCTTCCTTTGTAGACGATCTACTTTGGTGGTTGGACAAGACTCGTACATCGGTGGGTGTCTCATTTCCTCCACCTCATCTAGACTTGCATCTGTTTACAGATGCATCCTTTCAGGGCTGGGGGTGTGTGGGTCAATCACCAGGAGGCATCAGGTCGTTGTTTTCTAGACAAACAATCTTTACATATCAATTTCCTATAACTCCTAGCCCTTCATTGGGTTCTGGATCACTTTATTCCCATTGCCAATCATTGTCTGGTAATGATCCATTCCAACAATTCCACTGTGGTTGCTTATATCAATCACCAAGGCAGAACCTGGTTGAGATTCCTCTGTTTTTTACATGTTGGATCTGTTATATTGGGCCCATGCACAACACACTTGTTTAATTTTGTGTAATGTCCCTGGTGCTTTCTACCTTGTGGCAGATCATCTTTGCAGTCAATCACCAGTTACCCCTATTCTGGTCCCCAGATCCTCATCTTCAGGGTTTGGCTGCAGATGCCTTCAGCCATAATAAGGCACACAAATTCCTCAATGTTTATCCTTCTATTCAATTACTTCATCGGGTAGTTTTTCCTCATCCATGCCGGGTCCTTCTGATTGCTCCCTACTGGCCACCTCAACCATGGTTCCTCATTTACTTCACCTCCCATTGTTCCCTCCAGTACCATGTACCTTATTACCCGACCTCCTTCGTCAACCCTGGTCACTGGTTCTCCATCCTGCACTTCACATCCTCCATCTTCACACCTGCTTTTGTCCAGTCCTTGGCAAGGAGATCTGGTTTTTCCTATCATGTAGCTTCTGCCCTACTGTTGCCGGTGTCTATTAGTTACTCACATGGCTTTCCATCCGGGGGGTCTTTGGTATCCTCAATTTCAGGTCATTGGGCAGCTTTATCCCATACTTTCGTTTTTCCCGTTACCACACCTTACCCATCCTCACCATTTTAATCCATTCCTTCAGATTCTTCAACCTCTTTGATGACCCGCCCTTCCAGATTGGGATATTAACATGGTCCTCCATTCCATTACTTTACCTCTGTTTGCCCTATATCCTTGTGTTCTTTGTTTCACCTATCCCTTAACCCTTTCGAGATAGGTCATGGGTGAAAGGCCATGTCATTAAGTTTGATATCAAACTGTAGATTATAATTGAAATTTTAGTTCTATACATTACTCAATTTCTTAATTTAAAATTAAATAATAAAAAAAAACAGATAAACATCAATTTATGTGTGTCACGTGCTATGTTGAATGCAGCACTGGTTCAAATTAGATGTTTGTGAAGTCAAAACACTAAGTCAATACTTTAGTATGACTTAGAAACTCTAAATTACAGATATTGACAAGCTAGAATATAAAATAAGAATGTCTTTTCTATTTGCTAAGATATTGCTCATGTAATAAAT